TAATTGTGAGGATTTGTATGAGTGCGTCCTAAAATGCACTAAATTTCGAAAGATAACGTAGTGCATACCTAGCTGAACTTGTTGGGCAACTCTTCCTAATAAATTACGGTTATTATTGAATTGAATTTGGGACAAGTTATCGATCATTCCTGTCGGACATAGAATGCTTTGTGATCCCCCAAGATACGGAGCTGAATAGAGACCACTTTCCTAGTGCGTTGTTCCTCCGGAGGGCTGTCAGCTATTGCACGGAGGCCAGATACCCCATGTACTAGCGATTTATGCCATTACGAGACAATCAGAGGAGTAGAAGAGGCAAGAAGAGGCAGAACAAGTGAATTTGTATTGATTTTGAAAGAAGGTAAATTAGAAGTTGGGATACGCAGCTCAGTGAGGAAGCTGCAATATGATAATTCATTGAAACTGGGGCTTAGGAAAGTAGCACCCACCACTTTTATGGCATATGGCGGTTTGACATACCGCTTGGCAAAGTGCTTAATTGTGTTACATGTGTGGACGATCTGGCTGCTAAGGAACGGTGAAAAGCAATGAAAACTACGGTTGGTTGTATTAAAGCACCATTTCGCGAAGCCTACAGAGGGAATACGCGAAATCGTTTCTTCTGATAATATACTAATAAACATTTAGAAAAAGCGTCAAATGTGCTTTGAAGGGACTTTCGTTCACAAAGCAATTCTGGTCAAAGAAGATAATGTGCCTGCTCTGCTTTCAATAAAATAAAGGAGGCACATAGCTTTTGGCATCCGACACCATTCGCCTTAAGGAGGTTCAGGTAAGCTTTCATACGAGTTGGCCATTATTGGGTTCTCCGCGAAGAACAGTGACTAGCTGAATAAAGAGTCAAACTGTTCACTAGCGGTCTGGTGAGTTGCACTCCTTTTTGAATCATATCAACAAATTAGTTCATTTTATTACAAAACGGGCAATTGCTTTCCAACAAGCCAAGCTGTACACAGCAGTCAATTTTTTCTGAAAATACGCGATCAGATCGAGTTAAAAACCTTCATCCAGCCAGTTTTTTGCAATCCAGTGGCAACGTACATAACCTTTTCACGTTTATTAGAGGTTATTCGGTCTCAGTAATTTCATTTGTCATTTGAATTGGCTATACAATGGGTTTGGGGTTAATTTAAAGGTACTCAATGGACCGAGTAGGATACAACGAGCACTATTTTTTGGAAACAACTACAAATCAGAACTTGAGTGAATTCATTTTATGTCGAAGCGACGATAACGGCCCAGTAGAGTACGCAAAAACTTGTGTTACACCAAGCATCTCCTGGGTGGATGCGTTATGCCGCATTCGAATGGCTTGTAGACTTCCTTTTCGGCACAACTACATAGTTATTCTTTAGGAGTCACAGTCTAGGTTGACTGTACTCAGAAAATAGAATAATTTCAGAAAAATTCCGGTTCATTTTATGTGCAGACAAATTATGAGAGCTGAATTCGCACCTCCATACCTCAACCATGACAGCTGATGTCCGTCATACAGTTTGTTGATGTCCGATCGATTTTAATTAGCGTAAACATTATGGGGAATTCTGAGGAGAAATTAGAGGGTGACACTTTTAGAGGACACTGTGCGATGCCCCAGCTAATGGATTTGGCTGATAGACGTCTTAGTATCGGCCAATTACAACCAAATCCTGCTTGCTTCGGTAGATTTTCGAAACAAACTAATCAGGAATAAACAGAACACGACTCAATAGCTTGAATAGCAAGAATCTCCGGACTTACGTGGATGTAGAGCAGAATAATCCCGGAACATCCCATTTCGTGACATTACCATCAACAAACTTGGTGTTTTATTTGTGGATTAGTGAAGTTGACAGACAACATCCTTTATGGCTACTTGTTTGTTTGCTTGCCAACAGCTGACCGTTATACCTCGAAGTGCAAACGAAAAGTGCTCTTCTGATTGCTGTTTTGGAGATTTTCTTCAACAAACTGAACAACGAATACAACAGCGTACGCAAATTGTCCACAAATTGTTTACGAGTCAGTTTGTAATCACGCAAATTTTTTTGGCTTTGCAATTACGTGGCAGATTTAATTCGTTGGATTATTATTGTTGCTATTCGTAGCACTGCCTGCAGTCGAAATATTTTGATCTGTTGAATATCGAGCTAGACGAACCCTAGACACCTGATTGTTAAAATAATCCGTCAGCGCTTTCCAGTCTTCCTTTTAAAGAACATCAGATCCATACGTTGCTCACACATACGGTTGATCGATCCAACCATGTATGGATGCTTCCATCCGTCGAGTGCACCAACTGTGAGCTTCTTGTTAAGAATACAATTTTTGATGACTTCAGCAAAGTCTACACTTTAATAATAAGGCCGTTTGCCTTCCCTGACATTCGCAACTTGCGTCCGAATTTGGACATCCAAATTTTGGGCGTACGTGAATACAAAGTTTCTGCTAAATATACAATAAATTTTGATTTGTCACTCACAGAACTTCTCCATTTACCGAACTACTGAGCAAAAGGAATGATGTTTCTCAGAGATAGTACGGTTTGGAGGGTGGGGCAACCCCGGGATGCTATTGATACAACAAGGGCGGCATTAACTGGAGGGCCACAGATGACTGCCTATGATTCTGTGTGTCCGTTCTGCAAAATTTAGAAGCCCTTTAGCTATACTAACGTGCAAAATAATGGCCCACTGTTGTATGTGAATAGCAAGTCTGAGAAATGATGTTCCGAATTGTAAGTGTTTCCTTCGGCGCCTGTGTACCAAAAACCACCTTTTACTAGCCTACGGTATTGGATTACAAAGCTGTCCGACATAAATCCATGGGTATAGATATCCTCTCAAAAACACATGGATCTTTATGACAAGTCGTCTCAGTGACACGGACAGGTTGATGGTAATGACTGTTGTTATGCGGAGTGCGATATCTCACGCACTACTGGAAATAATGGAAATATGCCAACATCAATACAATTTGACAGTCTTTGATAAAGGAAATTGCATGTCAATAGTGTTGATATATCACCTGAGATTGGACATCTCGTTCCCTCTCATCAAATGGCATCACGACAAAAGCAAAAATCTTTCAAGGAATGGCCACTACCGGTGAAAAGCTTGGGAAAGCTTGAGGTGATCAAGGATTGCCCAAGGAAAACCAAGTGGTCCTAATGGCGCTTCAAAAACTGCATTTCAGGTCATTCGATATTCGACATCCTGAAATGCACACTTTACAGGTGGCGCGCGATGATATCACAGTTTTCTTCAAAAAGTAAAAAAGTGTCACATTCAGTCCGCCCGGCTGATCGGCCACGATGCTGAAAGATAAGCTCACGCGATTATCTATAATTCCAGTACTTTGTTGCACGAGCAACACTGACTGGATGGGATCAATACTACTTGTAAGGTCGGTGAACACTCTGGTGACGGGAACCGGTACGCGACCACCAAACTGCTATCGAAAGTTGTGGCTACCATGGCCACTAATAACAGGGCAGTTTTCTCCGGGTAGTGCAGTGACTGTTCCTGTACTCTGTAGTATTACAGCCTAACGAGGGTATCATATAGTTTAAGTTTTAGTAGAGATTATTTCCTCCTGATAAGTACTAAGTGTTTGGGGTTGCTTACTGTGGAAGTACTTTATATATATAT